TTGAAAAGTGTCCTGAGATAACTTCCTGTTATGAATTGGCGCTATACAAATAAAATTGAATTGAATTGAATTGAATAAAGAAAGTGTTAAAAACATGCCATCTTTCTCTTCTCTGGACTGACCACACATTACATTTTATACCACGCATACAAATTCTATTACAGTATGTCTGAGAGCATGGAAATGTTTGATGTTAAATTTGATTGAAGCATTCTTATTCTTGATGTTTCGTACAGTGTCACTGAGTTACTGTTGCTTACTATCTTTTACACTGACTTTTGTCTCTAGACCGCAGAGGGCATGGCCTACATTGAGCAGAGGAACTACATCCACAGAGACCTCAGAGCTGCCAACATCCTGGTCAACAAGGCCTTGGTGTGCAAAATTGCTGACTTCGGCCTGGCTCGTATCATTGAAGATAACGAGTACACGGCCAGGGAAGGTACGGCACAGTATCACACTGTCGCATGTTGTGTAACCAGGTGTCATCAGCAGATTGAGGAGCTGGGGAAATGGGAGCAATCGCAGTTTCATCAGTTTTGGGGAAATTACTTTGTGTTGGCAAGATGTCGAATTACAACACGAGTGATGGAAATAGTGAAGATGAGAGTGACTTGCTGTCTCTCAGGGTTATTAGGAGCCAACTACTGTCTCAGTAATAATGTCAGCATTAGTTCACAATTTGATTGGTTTTCAATGTTCCACAATTAACAGGAGCCAAGTTCCCCATCAAATGGACAGCTCCTGAGGCCATCAACTACGGCTCTTTCACCATCAAATCTGACGTCTGGTCCTTTGGCATCCTGCTGACTGAGATCATCAGCTATGGACGCACACCGTACCCAGGTAGGTTCTCAAACACCAGTACCACTGGTGGTACTTGAGCTGCCTCTAGAGCGTACACTGGGTCCTCTTCTGGTGGAGTCTGCCATATTGAACTGCCATGCTTCTACAGTAGCCCAAACACTGGCTCTAGATAGGGCCTTTGGTGTTTTCCGGAAATTTGGCAGCCATTGTAGTTTGTCCTTTAACAACACATGACTTTAGCCCTCTACAGTTATTGTTTTGTATCATTTGAGCTTTTCTCAAGGTGTTACATGTAGCCCTTGATGTTAGGTGCAGTGGTAAGAAGGCTACAGCTACGCTACGTGAAGCTGTACGCATGCATGCGCAGTGAGCTAAATACTAACATCAGCATGTTAACATTATAGCCTGTATCATAGTGTTGATGCCAACATGCTGATGTTTACCAAGTATACTGTTTACCATTTTAAGTTGGCATTTAAGCATGCTAACATTTGCTGATTAGCACTAAACACAGTAGAGCTGAGGCTGATTCTTTTGCAGGCATCTGGTCATAGTATAAGTATTGGACAAATTAAAAACTTTGACCAGACAATGGCGCCAGAAGGCAGTTCATGCAATAGTTGTCAGGTGGTGTGTCTTCTGGGGCTCCAGTCCCGAATGTTTTCTCAAAAGCCCTGAATCTTTGAGGTTTTAAAATAACTTTGTCCTGTAAAAACATGTCAGTCTTAGTTTGTGTCATCTCTCGTCTCGCTGACTAGGCCAGAAAATCAGTTGAGCAAACGATCTATCACTGGGGAAATATCGCTATTTATGGGTCCGCCCATTGTCATAGGGGTTGTTGTCTTGTCTGGAACCAACCATCACTCTGCAGCCTCTCTCAACCCAGTCTTGTTCTCTGGTTTTCAGGGATGACCAACCCAGAGGTGATCCGTTCGCTTGAGAAGGGCTACCGAATGCAGAAGCTGGACAGCTGTCCCACCGAACTCTATGAAATTATGCTGGAGTGCTGGAAGAACAAGCCAGAGGACCGTCCCACCTTCGATTACCTGCAGAGCGTCCTGGAGGATTTCTACACAGCCACAGAGAGCCAGTATCAGCAGCAGCCATGAGACTTTTTCATGACATCACTTTACATTCATACTTAACTGCAAGTCACATTTTCTACATGCAGTAGTGTCGTTCACACACACACGCTCAGTCTTTACCATTCTCTCTCTGTCTATCTGTCTCTCATTCACACACATAATATATAGTATCAAGGGACTGTACAAAGAGTATTGGGGAGGGTTGAAACTATTTTTTAAGGAGCCAGGCCCTACCTAACATTTTTAATATTTTCATTGGGCCCTCCTCCTTTTGAATAAGAACATTTGAAAGTAATATAACCAAAGTGGAGAGAAGAAAAACACAATATAAAAACAATATATACAGTAACCAGAGCCCAACCAAAAAGGGAACCTTTTGCAGATTTTGAATATAAATAACTTAATTAAACAACATTTAAGTTACATATTCTTTAACATGTTGAATAATGTAATTTACATTGTCAACCAATTCTAGTTGAGATTTCTGAGAGCGGTTTCTTCTCTCTTACTCTGCGCTGAATGCCACAGTATTGTAAATCACAGTGCACTCTGCTGGTTAAACTTTGCAGTGACACCGATATATTACCAAAAGCATCTTTTCTGTGTTATGTACCAGAAAGAAAACTCACATTGGCATACATTCATTCACATTATTAATATTATGACAACACAACCCTACCTCATACTTAGATCAGTGGCAAGGCACAGCAGTAGGCTAATGTGACTGCAGCTGCATCAGCTGTACTGGACATTTATCTTCACAGAAGTGCCCATAAATCATCTGCATGCACCGCAGCAGTGAGTCACTGGACATATATAGTACATGATATGTGCAGACAGATATGTGTGTCAGCTATATCTGCAGCCTCTATCGTGAAAATAAGGATTTATTCTGTCTTTTATTGCACCCTTTCAGTGCACTTTTTTCTGGATCACTGTACTGCATGATTAAGCTCTTGGTTAATTCAAAAATGTGCAGCCATGTCCTTAATTATGCATAACTGTAAGCCTTGATATAATTTAAACACGTGAGTTCTATAAAAATTGGCCCCAGAGGTCATGAAAGGAGTAAGCTTGTTAGACCTGCTGGTTTACAGACTGGGTACATTTGCAAGAAACAAATCTGGGAAAAAAACAGTGTGCTGTGAAAAATCAAATTAGTTTTTCATAAACAAAAAGACTTTTCTGCCCTTACCCCCTTTAAATTTTTGTACAGTCCCTAACATGACATTCAAACACCTTTGAAGCTGTTCTGCATTACAAGCATGACTGTATCACAAGAAACATATTATTTTACACAAGTACAAAGACACATGGCCATATTTACAAACAGATAACAGTAGGTGGTCACATGGAAAAGACCAGATTTAGCCATTATGCTCCAGCACACATTGTGCAGCCATCAAAGCAAGGTATAGCCACAACACAGATGCTCACAGTCAAGTTTTTGCAGCGTTCACTATATTTTCATCTGTATTTTCTGCAGTAATGTCAACAATTCAGCAAGCGAAGGTGTCATTGTGCACTGTTAAATGCAATGTTTTACATTGTGAAAGGAGGTGTACGATATATGGCCGATTATGCTTAAATCCTTTATTTATATTCAAAGATATTTTCCACATGCTGTGGCTTGTTTCAGCATTACTCCTTCATTGTGCCTTTTGAAACAGATCTTCTCTCAGTCAAATACAGTACATACAATATATTCCATGCGCTCTGTATTTATAAACGGATGTACACAAATAAATATGATTATTTAGGAGTGGGGTCTTTAATGTGAAGCCATATTAATGCTTGTTGATCCAATAAACTTGTGTTCTGTATTATACTAAAGGAAAGCAGATTTTTACACCTTTTGGCCTTCTTTTTTCTGTGTGAGAAAATTATTTATTGGTGAAAATAGTTCTGCTGCTGTGTGTCTTGAATGCCTAAAAGCTTTTTTTATCAGTTTTTGCAGCAAAGTGTTTGTCATGTTGTTGGAATTGTGTTTGGGTGAGCAAAGTCCTAAAATATCAAAGGGAATATTCTAAAGATTTCTGTCGTTTCATGATGTGGTATCATCCATTTAGACAGAACTGTGAATAGCAATATCTGGGGGAAGTTTTGTATGGAACGCTTATATAGAGAGTTGACAATCTTGAATCAGTCTGCAGCACTGTAGATATACTCCTATGGTAAAAAATGTTTTTCTTTATCAATGTAAAACCCTTTGCATATTTTGTTAGACGCTTGGTTAAATGCAACTGTAGTGAAGTTTTCAAATAAATTTTTGTTTGAAACAATTATCTCCCCAAATGTGTGTTCATATTTCATATGTTATTACGTGTTTGTACATGAATTACATTCATTTGTTTGATTGTCAGGTGAATTAAAGGTGATTGGGACAGTTTTTGAATTTTCTGACTTGTGGAAGCCTACTTGAGATAAATACAAAAAAATTGCCCAACACAGGATATACTTTGGTAGAAATTACCTATCCATCTGAGGAGGAAAGAAGGTTATATCATATCATGTTGATCATTATGGATTAAAGCTGCAAATAGGTAACGTTGATAAAAATAATATTTGCTGAAACTTCAGTACTATTGTCAGGATAAAATGAAAGCAAATATGTATAGACTATTTTCAATTCTGTTGAAATGTATTAGTGACTTAAGGTTTAAAAATCTGTCCACAATTCATACAGTATTAAGCCACTTTTCCTCACTGTTACAACAATGATGTGCCTCCCTGAAGACATTTCATTGCTGTAAAAAATGAATTTTCCTACATCTACTTCCTGTCTCACAGAAACATAGATAAGTTAGGATGGGTTAAGAGGTCAAGGCTGAATTTAGTGTTAGGTTCGGCTTGGTGAGGGTATTAGCTAGCCCATGAACACTTTTTAGCAACACCGGGGCCCGCATGTCCTCTCTCCCTTTCTCTTCACCCTCTTCACCTCAGACTTCAACTACCACACAGAGTCCTGTTATTTACAGACTTTTTCTGATGACTCTGCTGTGGTGGGGTGTATCAGCAGAGGTGATGACACAGAGTATACGACTGTGGTGAGACTTTGTCACATGGTGCGAGCAGAACCATCTGCAACTCAATATAAAAAGGCTAAGGAACTGGTTGTGGACCTGAGGAAGGCCAAGGCTTCACTGACCCCTGTTTCCATCCAGGGGGTCAGTGTAGACACTGTAGAGGACTACAAGTACCTGGGAGTTCACATAGACAATAAACTGGACTGGGCTAAGAACACTCCAGCCCTCTACAGGAAGGGCCAAAGCCGTCTCTATTTTCTGAGGAGGCTGAGGTCCTTCAACATCTGCAGGACCATGCTGAGGATGTTCTATGAGTCCGTGGTGGCCAGTGCTATCCTGTTGCGGTTGTCTACTGGGGCAGCAGGTTGAGGGCAGTGGACGCTAACAGACTCAATAAACTGATCCGCAAGGCCATTGATGCTGTGGGGGTGGAGCTGGACTCTTTACAGCAGTGTCAGAGAGGGGGATGCTGTCCAAGATTCATACTATCTTGGACAATGTCTCCCACCCACTCCACAATGAACTGGTCAAACACAGGAGGACTTTCAGTGCAAGACTCATTCCGCCGAGATGAACCACACAGCGCCACAGGAAGTCATTCCTGCCTGTGGCCATTGAATTCTTCAACTCCTCCCTCAGAGTGTCAAAACTCTGAGTCATTAGTCATTAAATGTTAATGTGCAATAAGTCAATTAAGTGCAATACCCAAGTCAACGTGCAATTCACTCTATTATTGTGTCATTTTACAACACCACAATCTTAAAACTCATTACTATTTATTTAATTTCTGTCAATAATACTGTGGAATATGTTTATACTTACGTTTAGATTTACATTTACTTTGTATATAGGCTCTGATTACCTTATTATATCTCTTAGGCTCTTATTATATTTCTATTTCCATTTTTATTTTTACTTTTTACTATATGTATATACCTATACATTCATTTCTATTCTATATATTTTTCTAGATATTGTATATAAGTACTATTTTTTAACGTTGTGTGAGTGGAACAACTGTAATGAACAAATTTTCCCCCAGGGATCAATGAAGTATTTCTGATTCAGATTTTTGTAGTATCATCAAAGCATTAAAGTAGTTATTTTAGACAATTATTTCACAACATTTATTGTATACTCCTTGGAAAAAATATTGGTGAACATTGGCACACATTAACGAGACGGGATTCCACAGTGAGCTCCGACCCATTTCAGTCACTGGTTCTCAACTTTTCAGAGTCAGCCCCCCCAGAATAATCAGGTTGGTGTAGGCTTAATTTGGCGCCCTATCTTGCAACTCCTTTGGGGGTCCAGACCCGCAGGTTGAAGACCACTGCTCTACTGCAAGGTTGATCAAAATTAGCAAAGCCTTTTAGCAGTGTCCCAGTCACTAAAAATCATGCTGTCCCATAAAAACAACAAATTGTTTGCAGTAGTACATCATATTCATGTTTCCAGAGACAATTATATGCCCTGATGAAAACTAGCAACAACTTCTGTAGTTTTTCTCCCATCATTTATTGCAGGGTCAACTTTCTGTCTGACACTTGCTCCACCTACCTACGTAATGTCATACCACAGGTAGGGCAAAGTAGCAAGCACATAAAGTTTTCATTTTAATCAAGCAAGAAAATTAACCCCGTATAATATTGCCAAATTCAACCATATGTCCCGATCGCCCTTAATTCACCCTAGATATGGCTTTTATTTATGAAGTTGGAGGCAAATCTCAATGATTTATGTATCATTTAAGTAATTTACTATATTTATTAAAAATAAACAACTGGCTATTTATTCATACTAGTAGTCGTGGAGGTCAGCAGTTATTCGGCTGTTAAGCAGTACTACATTAATGGGTGTGTGAAATAAAAAGAGAAATTAATGAATCCAAAAACCACGGTACTTCCGCGACGTCATTAATGACACGTATTCAAAATGGCGGCCGCGGCTATGGTAAGTGGAAGAGCGAACTCTTTTTCTTCAAACTACACATCGCTCATACTCTCTTCCCAAACTAACACAGACAGAGTGCTGTTGCAGTGGCAGGGTAGAGATCTACCTGGGTCGATACGCAGCATTTTAACGTGAACTCGGTGCGGATTTACTGGAGTTCGCTGCTGTTTGAACGTCGGTTTGGCTAACTGCTTGCTATAGTTAGCTAGCTTTCGGTACCTAGCTTGACTGTCAGTGAGCGGTGGCTTACAAAATGTGTTTTTACAATTTTTCTCGTATATTAAACTATGTCGACGGAGCCTCAATAGTCACGTACTCTGTTGTTAAACTGTCATTTGCTGTACAGCCGAGAGAAATAAGCTAGCCGAACTTTGGCTGGACGTTAGCTTGTAGCAGCCCTGTCAGGCAGCGACAGTTTGAGCTTGTTGTCGGTGTAACGTTAACGTTAGTTCACAGTGCTGAAAGATGTCAAGATGACAGCAGCAGATCGGCTACGAAAAACAAAATAATGTGAACTAAGACTGTCTATGTTGTTCAACTGTGTTGGTAGTGTCTCATAACTTAAATGAGAGTTGAAGCCAGAAGTCATTCTTGCTAACTTCCTCCTGTACTCACAGTACCGATAAAATGCATGTGCTCCCATTGGACTCAGTGTAGTGCAGTGTAACAGTTAGGATTCTGTCATATTCACTGAAACTTTCACTATATCCTGACAGCAGTACATGAGACAGATAAT